ATCAAAAGGAACTAATTAAATATGGACTCTTAGATATATATATGTGTAGTGGGCCAAGTTCATTTAGGTTGGGCTAAGTCTTCATGGATAGTCCATGGAGCTTTAACCCATGGATCCTAGGAAATGAAAGGTCATGGGTATTAGGGTTTAACCCTAATCCTCCACACTATATAAAGGGTCTTATGGTTCATGAAATTATGTTAGTGGCTAGTGTGGATACACTAAAGAGGGCAATAACCGATTTCATAGTGTGAGCCAAGTATCCATATTCTCTAAAGGTTTTCCAAGGTGTTTTGGTGATTTGTGATTCCACTTGAGGCTTCCACACTATTGGGGCTAAGCTCTTAAAGCTTGAAGACATCAAGCTACATCAAAAGGTATGTCATCTAACTAGAACTTTGTAGTATAGGTGCTTATAATATGCTAGTTAGGATGAAACCTTGGAATATTTAATATTTGCATGTATAATAGAGAAAACATAGATCCAAGGTTTATAGGGTTGCATGTATACCATAGGAGTGTTAGAATGCTCAAAACCCAACAACATCATCAAATCTACTATCGACACATTTATCACATTGGTTTGTCTTGAAATCAGAGGACAAAATAACTTCATCAAATTTCTGATGCCATTGTTTAGGCGCTTGTTTCAGCCCATACAAAGATTTGACAAGTTTACAAACCATATGCTCTTTACCGGGCATAATGAAACCTTCTGGTTGTTTCATGTAAACTTCCTCGTCAAGATCACCATTTAAAAAGGCTGTTTTCACATCCATTTGGTGAATAACCAGATTGTGGATACTTGCCAAGGCAACCAACAATCTAATAGTAGAAATACATGCAACTGGAGCATACATATCAAAATAGTCAATACCGGGTTTTTGTCTAAAACCTTGAATGACTAACCGGGCTTTGAATTTGTCAATAGTCCCATTAACATTCATTTTCTTTTTGAAAATCCATTTGCAACCAAGAGGTTTAGAACTCGGAGGCAAATCAGACAACACCCATGTGTTGTTCTCAAGAATTGATGACATTTCATCATCAATTGCCTCCTTCCAAAAGGCACTATCACGAGACTCCATGGCCTCTTGATAAGTCTTAGGATCATCTTCAATACTATAGCAATAAGAGTATTCAAGACTAATTTCATCCCTTGAACCTTCCACCAAGTACAGTTGGAAGTCGGATCCGAATTTTTTCACAATATTGCCTTTTTTGCTTTTACGAAGCTCTTGTGGTTCTTGCACATTACCACCATCTCGACTTTCTGAATTTTGATCTTTAAGAGCACCAAAAGTCAGATCCTTAGGCCTTTGAATCGATGAAAACCGCATCTCATCAAAAATTGCATCTCGTGATTCGATAACAGTGTTAACCGAAATCGAATCATTAAGTTCTATTACATAAAACCTATATGCCTTGGAATGTTCAACATATCCAATGAATATGCAATCAATTCCACGTTCTCCCAAATTCTTCTTTTTGGGCTCGGTGAGTTTTACAACTGCCCGACAGCCCCAAACCCGAAAATAACTCAAATTCGGCTTTTTCTTGAACCAAAGTTCATATGGGACTGTTTTGTTCCTTTTATTTGGAACCCTATTCAATAGATAGCAGGCCGTTAACATGGCCTCTCCCCAGAATCCTTCACTCAATCCCGAGTAAGATAACATTGAGTTTACCATTTCCTTTAAAACTCGATTTTTGCGTTCAGCAATACCATTCTGTTGAGGCGTGTAAGGTACCGTGGTCTCATGAATGATACCCACTGATTGGAAGTATATAGGATCCATATATTCACCTCCCCTATCAGTTCTGAGACATTTAACCGGAATGCCCAATTGCAATTCCACCTCGGTTTTGTATATTTTGAATTTATCTAAGGCTTCATCCTTAGAATGCAACAAATACACATAGCAAAACCGAGTGCAGTCATCAATAAAAGTGACCACATACTTTTTATTTCCCAAAGAAGGAGTGGAGTGAAAATCACACAGGTCACTGTGTACAAGTTCCAAAACAGCTGAATTTCTAGTAACACTAGGAAATGGTTGTTTTGTCACTTTTGTAAGCATGCATGTTTTACATTTATCAGATGTCATATCAAAGGCTGGAATTAATCCATCTTTTGACATCTCATGCATCCTTCTAAAGTTGACATGACCTAATCTTACATGCCAAAACATAGATTTATCAACATTAGAAGTAGAAGATACAAATGCAGAATTCTGAACAGGTAATAATTTGTCAACAATATTTAAACGAAACATTCTATTATTTAAATATCCAAAACCAACAAACATTCCACCCTTAGACAAAACAAACTTATCCGACTTAATAACTTGTTTAAAACCATCAGAATTCAAACAACTAGAGCTAACAAGATTCTTGCGAATCTTGGGAACAAACAAAACATCAAATAATCTAATTGTCTTTCCAGAAGTAAATTCAAGACACACGACACCTAAACCACAAATAGGAATAAAAGAATCGTCTCCCATTTTCAGCACCGACCCATCTTCAAGCGGAGTTAATGTTTCAAACATCCGTTTATCCTTGCATACATGGTTCGTTGCTCCGGAGTTGATCCACCAAGCAACATCATCATCCTGCACATAGAATGATTCAGGGATAAATGAAACATAATAAACATAATTCTGATTAGAATTATCAAAGTTAGTCAAAAACTGACCTCCTTTAACTTGGGCCGAAGACCCGTTCACTTTCCCATTGGCTCCACTGTTTCCAACACCATTGTTGCCCAAATTCACACGACAATCACGCTTGCAATGCCCAACTTGATTGCACCTCCAACAAACCATATCCTTTCTCTTTTTGTTGGAGTTGCCTGGGACATGTTCCTGCTTACGTTTGCCATGTCCTTTGTGGTTGTGGTTCCTTGGTTTGTTTTCAACCATATGAACCGATGGCTGTCCAGGTTCAACTTTTCCTTTGGGTTTTTCAGATTTGTCACTTTCCTTCGCACGAAGAGATTCTTCAATACGAATATGACTAGCAAGTTGAACCAATGATAGTTCCTCCTTTTGATGTTTCAAGTTATGTTTGAAGTCTTTCCAGGACGGAGGCAGTTTGTCAATGATAGTGGACACAACAATGGATTCATCCATATTCATACGGTGCAGTTTAAACTGACCGTATATGCCAAGGAGTTCATTGTACTGTTCAGTGACAGACCTTGAATCTTCCATCTTATAATTATTAAAGTCACTGACTAGAAACTTCTTGCTAGAAGCATCCTCAGTAATGTATTTCAGTTCAAGAGTGTCCCACAACTCCTTGGCACACAAGGCTTCACTATGGATATCAAATAAAGCATCAGACATACCGTTCAGAATGTGACCTTTGCAGATGTAGTCATCATTGTCCCACTTCTGTCTCTTTCTTGTCTCTTCAGCCGTCTCAACAACACCTTCCTCAGGCTCTGTTGGTCTAGGAGTAGTCAGCACGTACGCTGCCTTGAGAGTAGTCAGCATGAAGTGCATCTTCTTCTTCCACCGCCTGAAGTCAACACCTTCGAACTTCTCCAGCTTTGCAAACTTAGTGGTCATCTCGCGGATTGAGTCACCCATATCCAGAAACAGAAAATATCAGTTCGAATGTTGGGAAGTTTAGGGTTTGTGGTGGAGATCTGGATACCAACTTGGATCGTGATATCACTTTCCGAACTGATATTTCTACCCTATGTTTGGGTTACAAGAAATTCAGCCTAGGATAATCCAAGTGGACACTTACGTTTCTAGGCACAGAAGACGTAAGCCAATATGCTAGAGGATTCTGTGAAAGTATGATGAAACGAGAGCTTAAGATCGTAACCTTCTTCTGTAGAGGAAGAGCTGCTTATATATTAAACACGATTAGGGTTTCATTAGGGTTGGGCCGTCATTAGTTGCTTTGGAAGCAAGTAATGTTAATCCGAATTTAATGAGGATTTAGGGTTACCAAAAACTAACGGGTTTCATTAGTTTTGGGCCGTCATTAGTTGCCTTGGACCCCGCTAGGGGTGCTGCCCCTAGACCCCGCCAAAGGGGTGCTGCCCCTTTGGAAACCCCGGACCCGGGGGCGCTGCCCCCAGATCCCTGACTAGTCGTCGAACCGGCTTCTAATTCGATCTTATACATGCGTGCACTCCGCACAACCCCGTACATATAATAGAGTACAAATTATGAAGCCCCTTAGCTCACATGTTAGTTCCAGTTACTTAAAATGACATGGTGACACTAAAATCATCAACATCATGCTCCAGATATACTAGATATATGGTTTAGTACTTTAGTATATAACATGACATACATGATGGATTTAAAGGAAGAATCCAAAATAGCTTTATTCATGCGTCTTACCTCATCTGTTGTGGCGCTACATTGATACTTGCTCAAAATTGACCATGCTATATTGCAAGGTTCCAAAACTTGGAGCTTTGCATCTTGGATCGATTCAAGATTTCTTCAATGTTTGTACTTTGAATATGACCAATTTGTCGCTTAGATTTATCAATTCAAATTTTGATTCCTATGATATATGTTGCTGTTCCTTGATATGTAGTAGCAAAACATTTCCTAGACAGGATTTATATCCTACAAGGTTAGACGTCCATTGATTACTATGTCAATATCATACAAGATCAACCCTTACACTATGTCTAATGTAAACACATGTCTTACATTGGTTATAAGCAAAATTGAACCCTTTCATATACTCATTAGAATGAAGAGTTAAGCTCCTGGATGCTTGCTTGCTTCAATGAATGAATAAAATAGTACTTTGGATTCAAGAACCATAATGGTGCACCAAGTATACATCCTTGTTCGAGTGACCATTCAACAATGTGTTTGAAATCCACTTTCCATGACTCATACTCATATTATGTAGTTATGGTGACGAGTATTCTGATAACTTTAATGTTTGTGACTGAAAGAAGGTTTTCATTCTCCTCATTTCTAAATCAAACATGATATAATGGAAACAATAAGAATCAGCTAAATGTACAACAAAGTACAAAATCTTACACTTGTTTTAACCTACCAAGTTCCTAACTTTTTTGAGCACATAAAACTCACACACCAACATATCCCAAAAGACACTTGAACTCACAACCTATTGTAGAACTTACGTGGCACTATAAAATCTCTCTCTCTCTCTCTCTCAATGTGATTTTATGATCAAAAACCGTATTTCCTTTTAACTTCTTCACATCTCACTTTCAGGTTTCACTGGTGGCTCCTCTTTCTGCTGTTGTGAAGCAACTGCTTTCAGCTGCTCTTCTGTGATCTTCAACAGCTCTTCACTCGTATACACTCTGCTTGAAGGAGACCCATTTGCTGAATCAAGTGTTCAGTTACAGTCAAATGTCTAAAATACCCTCGTCTAAATTCTAACAACCAGAATATCAAGAAAAAAGAAACAGGGTCTTACTAGTGTCGACTGTAGGCTGAGAATCCTCCTCCATGGTGACAGCCGGAGTTGCTGTTGTGTCACCGGAATCTTCCAGACTGACATCTGGGGTGGTTGTCGCTGTTGCCTGAGGATCTTCTGGGGTAGTTGTGGTTGCTGGAGAATCATCATCGGTGGTGGTGGTGGTGGTGGCAGGTGGTGTTGCTGTTAACTGAGAATTCTGAAGGGTATCAGGAGGAATTTGGGTCTGTGTGGTGGAAGTGTAATTTCCTTGTAAAGGATTTTTAAGCTCATCAAGACCGATTTCCTTTTCAAGGGTGCTCTTGAATTCCCGTGAAACTTCCTATTTTGGAGCAAGTTGTGCATTTCAAACATTCAATCAGTATCGGATTCTTATTCTTTAAGTCGCGATAAGTAATCACTTTGAAACCATACATTCAAACACGAATTACCTGTAGTTCCCTTATTGTTGGTTGAAATGAACGCAGAGTTTTTCCCAAAGTTTTAGCAACCTGCAGTTTAAGTGTGTTATAATTTCAAGAAAACATGGTATTGACACAAAGATAACATCCTAAAAGAGATAATAAAACAGAAAAAGATTACAAAATGAAGTTTTTGGGATATACACTCACCTCAGCAAGACCTTTAGGGCCAAAAACCAACAAAGCCACAACTCCAATCACTAAAGCTTCAGGAGCTCCAACTCCAAATAAAGATGCAAAAACGCCCTTCCCCGTACATTTCTTTCTCTTTTCTGCAACCACCAAAACAATCCAATCATTCAAGCCTCGAATCGATGTGAAAGTTGTCAAATTTTCATGGTGAATTTTATCAGTAATGCATACAACACGATGTAGATGATGAATTGGCAACGAATCTTATACGAGTTTACCTTTGACATATACTAGCATTGACATCTAAAAGATATACCTAATTTCAAGGATTGAAGTGAGATTGATAACCCATTTGTCCTGAGGCCATTCCAAGAAGAAAATGGAGTTAAACCAATATGAGGAACCCACGTTAAAGAACGAACGGTTGGGGTTTTAGAGCATGAAATCTGAGACGTGGAGAGAGAAGCATAAATGGGGGGTTTTCTAAAAAATTTGGGTGATATTGAGGATGACGATGAAGGGTGAGATAAATATGGATGATTGAAGATCGCGGAAGCCATGATGTTGGTGTGGTGATTTGTAGATTAAAAGGTGAATCGATCTGAGATTGAATTTAGGGAAAATCGGAAATCTTGGAAAGAAAGGGCGATTGGAATTGGTTCGGATGTTGGGCCCAACATAATCCTGGTTTCATGTGATTGTGGACTTGTGGTAGTTGGCTATCAAGCAATTTAGTATTCATTCGCCTATTCCAAAAAGAAAGGGTACTTTTTTCTATTTTCTATAGAATGGATAAATCAAATCTATACGATCAAACTTTATAAATACGCAAACTATGCAAAAGTAAGGTAGTGTTTGTTTTTTCGAACAATCTTTATAATACGCAAACTATGGAAAAGTAATGTATTGTTTGTTTTTTCGAAGCCGAAATGTTTGTAATCCGCAAACCACATTTGTAAGTTTTTGCAGCAGAAGAAGTGGACCAAACGTCTGCAGTTTGCAATAAGAAATATGTTTGTTTTTTAACGTATGCTGCTGAAATAAATGAAATTTTAAATAAACTGATTTTACAAACTTAAAATAGATTTTCAATACCAAAATTTTAATAATTCTAATCATACAACATTAAAATAAAATTCATGCAACCAAATTAGTCTTACAATAACAATTTTAGTTTTACAATAACAATTTCATTTAAAATAATTCATTCAATATTTTACATCAATTGTTCAACAATTTCATCCTGTAACTGAGTCATATATTCACGGTCTGCTGCAGTACCATGTGTTGGAACCTCATCTTCATCATCATCAACGAAGACATTGTTATTTCGAAACGTGACATTGGGTTCATCGTATCGTGCGAAATACCGATCACTCAATCATTCTTTCTTTATAAAATTATGAAACATGAAACATGCAATGATAATGTTTCTTTGTGTAAACAAACGAGATTGGTATCATCCTCCTCAATATAGTGAATCGTGCTTTCAATACACCAAAAGCACGCTTAATGACATTCCAAAGTTTTGCATGTGCATAATTAAATTTTTAGTTATTGGTTAATGCACGTCATTGACGAAAATCTCCAAGCCAATACCTCTCATTATGATACGGGGCCATAAATCCTCGAGTGTGTGCATACGCGGCATCACAAAGATAATATTTCTCTTTAAAAATGCAAAACATTAATCAATTTTCAAACTAAGATAAAAAATATTAAAAAAAACATAAACTTACATGTTGGTAGAAACGAGAATGGTGCATGTGGATCGACTAATGCTTATGATAATATTCTATAATCATGTGCTACCCTTTCCCAACCGGCCACAACAAACGTAAAAATTATGTTGAAGTCACAAATTGCCAATACATTTTGGTAACAATCGCCATTTCCCCTACATCTATATAAATCTTGTTTTCTTAGCAGGGACAACATCATGTATCAAAGTGTCATCAAGTGCACCAACCACTCTTTTAAAAACCCATCGTAGCCTCTTATTATGTACCCAAATGTTTGGATTCAGATTAAAAGAAGTTTGTACTATAATGTCTTTTGCGAAACATATCATTTTTTCCGGCACTTCGTGAAAAAAGTATGAATTGTTTGCTTTGAGTGTTGAAATCTCCGCTTGATAATCACGTAACGTTGATTATAACCGATCATCATAAAAAACATAGTCATCTTTTCCTCAACCGGTACATGTTTTCTATCTTTTAGCGAGTAATTTACTCTAAAATGAGAACATATTCAGACAAAAGATTCACGAGAGATGCGTAGTAATTCAACACATTGTAGAGGATTACGTTCCAATAGCTCTAACGTGTATTCATGTCCTGTCATTTTCGAATCATTGTCCCACACTCGTTTCACATCCCTCTTTCAGAAATAGCGGACATACAAGTACATTAGAATTACAAGAAATACATTTTAATCGTGATCCATTGTGAACCTATTAATCAACACAAGTAGAACTTTAAAACATAACATTAACCAAATTCAAGTAGCAAAAAAACAACACTTAACCATATTTCAAGTATAAAAAAAACATAACATTAATCATATTTCAAGTACCAAAAAAACATAACATTAACCATAATTCAAGTAGCAAAAAAACATAACATTAACCAAATTCAAGTTCCAACACAAGCAAAAACACCTAACAAATAGTTCCAACACAATAAAAAAAACCTTCAACAACGGTTTCAACACAAGCAAAATCATTGAACAATATTTCTATCCTTTAGAACTCCTAGACTTGTACCAGTCATCTCGATCCATACTCGTAATATCTCAGAATCATCGGGCAAATTCATTCATATCTCTCACACATTCATGGTCCCTTAAAAAATGTGATAAGCAGCAAAGCGTAGAGGATCTATAGGGCTTAACTCAAGCAACTCTAACTTCTCTAAACATTGAGGAATTGTATACCCTTTAATCAAATGTCGTAGAGATTTTGCATTTCAATTGCTAAATCGTCATCATTAATAGAAGTTTTAGGTGAGGCACCGAAAGGTCCATTAGGAGAGGCACTAGGAGCTCTGGGAGTTGAGGGTTTAGCCCTTTTGTTGAGGTTACCAAAGGGTGAAGTAGTAGAAGGTGAAGCAGTAGCGGGTGAAGCAGGAGAAGGTGGTGGCTCATGAAAAGGCTTACTACTATGATATGAAGTGCTATCATCATCATCTATTGCAAGAAAAGGGGGTACCCATAATCCGAAGTGGTGGAACATGACAAGAAGATGATCCAACCCCCGATGATTTTGGATTGAGGTCCACTTGAAATTACTAGTGACACTATTTCCATCAAAAATATGTGCACAAAGATCTGGAAAAGGCAATGGAATTCTTTTCAATGAAGCAACCTTTGAATGCCCCTAAACCCAAATGTAACAAAAACTAGTGTAAGAATATTTGACAACTTTAAGCATAAATGTTTAATATATATATATATATATATATATATATATATATATATATATATATACATACACCTTCTTAAAATCATCCCACCCTTCTACAATTAAGTTAAAAGTGTTTGTTTGAGAATTATATATATTGCCAATTTTGTTTTTCAAATTTAGTCATCCTGTGTATTTGGCTTTCAGATTGTCATATGCGTTTTTCATTTGTTTTTGAGTCAAATCCATGCCAAATTTTTCCTTAATAACTCTTCCAAACTTGATCCATTAATCTTTGTGCAAACTCGGTCCTTTTCTACCCATATTGATTACTTATTCAATACAAGTTCTAATAAGCATTTTAGATGCTCATTAGTCCATTGTTGTTTATCTCCCATTTCTAATATGTAACATCCATAAAAATCAAACCAACTTTAAACTTTTTAAAACATTTAGAAACCAACAGTTATTACAAATTTGTTTTCAAAATAGTTCCATATCAGAGTATCCCAGAAACATAGTCATAAAATGTGAGGAGCTGTACGATCACGCCTTTGCCTTCCCGCGATCATTTGAGGTACCTGAAACCAAAACTGAAACTGTAAGCCCAAAGCTTAGTGAGTTCCCCCAATATACCAATACATAACCAACAGTACACATAATAACAACATGTAATGGGTCCACATCTCTACAGACTGGATTACCCCCTGGGATTACAGTGTGAGTCTGGCTTGCCTTCCAGGCCCACAGCTCACATCTGGCTTGCCTCCGAGCCCACAACATAATTCTGGTTTGCTTTCGAGCCCACAACTTATGACTGGCTTGCCCCCTTCAGTTCTACAACTGAAACATAACTGATTTGCCCTCAGTACGAGTCTGGCATACCACTTGGTCCTCAACTCTTATCTGGTATGCTAATGAGTCCTCAGTATGAGTCTGGTATGCCGTCCCGGCCCTCAACTCATATCTACCATACTCCATGGTTTGCTGGTCACTACACGAGACAGTTCAAACTCAACCCTACCCACACAACATGTCTACATATACAGCTAATAGCACATACAGATAATCAAACAGTAATACAAGTAGTCCTACAGATCTACCTAACTAGCATAACAAACTAGCATGCATAATCATCTCATACTCAACATGTAATCAACTACTGGGATATCAAATCCAATGGGTCGACCGTGGTGCCTTAGACCCCTTAGTATAGTGAGTATAATTCACCTCGCAATGTTGCTCTGAACTGAAGAATCAAACTCCGAATCGTTGGCTCACCAAAAATCCCGAACTATCTAAATAATAAACATTATGTCAATACATGGAATATAAATCTTAACTAAGGGTCCACATAATCCATTTTGTCCTTCCTCTTTATTGGGCCAAGGCCTAATTGCCACATCCATGATCTTAAAAGCCCATATATCCAAGGCCCATTAATCACCCAAATTTCCCAATTTGGGCCTAACTTCCTAATTGGGCCTTATCATAGGATCCCTTATCAAAACTGGCCCAACTTCAATTATTCTGAGGGCCCAACAAGGCCCAAGTCCAATTAGTCCAAAATGGCCCAATCCCGAAGCCCAATTTGTCCAAAAGCCTAACAGAGGACGTACGCGGGGCGTACTCCTCTGGTACGTTGGGCGTACTCTACCTGACGTTGACCACCATCGGGGTGGTTGACCCAGTACGCTGGGCGTACATAATTTACATGGGGTTTTGCCAAAACCCTAATAAGTGCTTAATGGCTTAAGCACTTAAGCCCATATTTCAGATCCATCGACCAAAAGTGCCTTAGAACCATAAAGTCTTGAACTTTATCACTTTGGACATCCAGAAAGTTCTTAACACATGGTCTTAATCCATTAAGACCTTCCTACTCCATGTATGAGACACATTTGGCTATTGAGACATCATTTTTATCACTTAGGACCTCTTTTAGGGTCTGAAGGACAGCTTATTTCGTCCAAATCATAACATGCACCAACTTGGGGACTTTTGGGACAAGAAATGGTTCCATAAATCTAGAATGGCTAGATCTATATCATACAAGCATAAAGTTTGAAGCTTTTTACCTTCTGGAGCTTCTATAGCACAAGGAAACTTCAGATCTACAAGCTTGCCTTCCTTCTCCAACTATTTGATGCAATGTCTTCACCTTCAAGTGCTCAAAACACACACCAAATCACACTCACACACAAAACTAGGGTTTGGGACGTTTTTCTGGGATATGCAGGCTAAGGATGATGAGAGGAAATGAGCCATAAGTGTAACACCGTAATTTTTCAAATAAAATTTTCATTTAAAATCGCATAACTCTCATAACACATTTCACGA